GTCCATATCATACAGCTGCGTTGTGCATGTCCATATCATTTGTGCATGTCCATATCATACAGTGTTGTACATGTCCATATCATACAGTGTTGTACATGTCCATATCACAGTGTTGTACATGTCCATATCATACAGTACATGTCCATATCATACAGCGTTGTGCATGTCCATATCATACAGTGTTGTACATGTCCATATCATACAGTGTTGTACATGTCCATATCATACAGTGTTGTACATGTCCATATCATACAGTGTTGTACATGTCCATATCATACAGTGTTGTACATGTCCATATCAGACAGTGTTGTACATGCTCATATCACTGTTGTAAATGCCCATATCATACAGTGTTGTATATGTCCATATCATACAGTCATTGTACATGTCCATATCCATATCATACACTGTTGTACATGTCCATATCATACAGTGTATATTGTACATGTCCATATCATACAGTGTTGTACATGTATGTCCATATCATACAGTGTTGTACATGTCCATATCATACAGTGTTGTACATGATCATACAGTGTTGTACATGTCCATATCATACAGTGTTGTACATGTCCATATCATACAGTGTTGTACATGTCCATATCATACAGTGTTGTACATGCTCATATCACTGTTGTAAATGCCCATATCATACAGTGTTGTATATGTCCATATCATACAGTATTGTACATGTCCATATCATACAGTGTTGTACATGTCCATATCAAACAGTGTTGTACATGTCCATATCATACAGTGTTGTATATGTCCATATCATACAGTGTTGTACATGTCCATATCATACAGCGTTGTACATGTCCATATCATACAGTGTTGTACATGTCCATATCATACAGTGTTGTACATGCTCATATCACTGTTGTAAATGCCCATATCATACAGTGTTGTATATGTCCATATCATACAGTATTGTACATGTCCATATCACACAGTGTTGTACATGCTCATATCACTGTTGTAAATGCCCATATCATACAGTGTTGTATATGTCCATATCATACAGTATTGTACATGTCCATATCACACAGTGTTGTACATGCTCATATCACTGTTGTAAATGCCCATATCATACAGTGTTGTACATGTCCATATCATACAGTGTTGTACATGTCCATATCAGACAGTGTTGTACATGCTCATATCACTGTTGTAAATGCCCATATCATACAGTGTTGTATATGTCCATATCATACAGTATTGTACATGTCCTTATCATACAGTGTTGTACATGTCCATATCAAACAGTGTTGTACATGTCCATATCATACAATGTTGTTTATGTCCATATCATACAGTGTTGTACATGCCCATATCATGTGCACACAGTGTTGTACATGTCCATATCACACAGTGTTGTACATGTCTATATCAAACAGTGTTGTACATGTCTATATCAAACAGTGTTGTACATGTCCATATCACACAATGCTGTACATGTCCATATCACAGAGTGTTGTACATGAATATCATATAATTAAGTGTTGTACATGCCCATATCATACAGTGTTGTATATGTATGCTACATTGTTGCATACTATTTGGTTACACTGTTGTACAGGCCAATATGTTCCATGGTTGTATAATTTATCTAATTAGCTGTTGTCTATGGCATTATGTTGCACTCAGAAACACTGCCTTCAAAATTTTAGAATGAATGAGTTTATCACTGCTTTGAAAAGTACACCAGATATATCATGGCATACATGCAGGAGAGATGACCAAAGTGATGCCGGCCTTAGACACTGACAACTTTAGTAAAAATATCCACAAGCCCAATGATCATCTGGACAAACAAACAGTCATAATCAGAGCAAATCAGGTAATCAAGCCCACAATCAGGAGACCACTAGCACGCCTCTGGGATGTCTTTCTGTGCCAGAGGCTAATGAACCAGCCTTGTACCGTCTTGTACAAGAGAAACATATATATAGACATCATGATATCTCCTTTCCCCTGAATTAGGCATGATATCTCCCATCAAGGCTTGACAAAGCACCTGTTTCCATGACGTTGCCTGGCCTGCCACACATCTCATGTTAATCCATCACTGGTCAAAACACCAAACAACTCAAACTGAAGAAACAAATTATTTTTCTCACTTGAGATTATTTAATCTTATCTAAAATCTATCTGCAGGATTGTTTGAAGACACCCATAAATAATTAAACATGAAAATGATTTGATGAAGTTATCTAAAAAGACAGATTCTGATTGATTTGTTTCAAAGTAATTTGAACAAAATCAAGCTAATCAATAAACAAATGAGACTATCTCACCCTGAATGTATTAAAGCAAGGTCTGCATGCAAGAATCACATTTATTGGGCCACCAATTCTTTGATGTTTTGTTAATAAGAAGCAAATAGCCTATAAATCACGGACTAAGGATGAAAAAAATTGTCCCTCACCAAAAGGTCTGGCACAAGTTTACAAAGCAGAAAATTTGTTTGGGGTTCATTTTTTCCTGGAGTAATGTACCATGTGCATTCATCACAAGAACATTTTATTACTAATCCTATCGTTTCCTTCTGGAGCTAACAAAGCAAAACAAAATAAATTGTTAATTAATGCAATACAGAAATTTCCCCTATAAAACCACTGTCTGTAAATATCTGTCTATAATGGTGAAAATATTTATTTGCATTACTATGATCAAAGGATTAATTCCTACCATTTAACATTCATTTCAATAAATTTCAAATTGTACTTTTTAGGGATTAATCATGAATCTAAGATGCCGTTTCCCACATGACTGGTTTAGATTTTCAATACGAAGTATTAAGGGAGACCACCTCAGGTTTACAGCTCAGTACTGTTGTAACTTGTCCATTTTTCACTATCAATTCGTGAGTGAGTGAATCTGTTTAAATCCACATTTAATTGTTCTCAGATTCTAATAAATAACAGTGAAACTGTTTTATCCTACTTTTAGCATTAATGAAGCACTACAACAATGAGCTTATAACATTGTCCCCTGCGATGTGTCATTTCTGATGCCTACTTAAAAAAACTAACCATAAGCCGTCAGACTGTCGTGAAGATACTGTGTTAAAATTGGTCTTGAGCAACCCAAGCTTGTCATATGAGACAACTAATGGGATTTGGTGGTTAGTTTAGCTGACTTGGTTATCATCAGACAGACGAAAAAACTAACTTTAACTACAAATATTGGGTGTATTCAACATGGCATGCGTTTTTATAATGCTTTGATCTTCTGAATTTCTATTTCCTTAACTGTCAAGAATGTTTATGTTCACAAATGTGTAGATTTAATAATGGTGAAACATTTAATTAAACAGTTAATATCAAACATAATTACTTTCCAGTCATAAATCAATAAATTATATATGATTCTATGCTAGTATAGGGAAACTGTTCAGAAAACAACATCCACAATATTACTGTCAAATGGAATAGTAAATGAGGAATCATTGAAACAATTGCAAAATCACTTTTACAAATTGCAAACGTTTTCAATCTTGAAGTTGATACTGAAAAATACAACTGACAAAACCCTTTTCACTAACTTTTCAAAACAATCTCTGCTGACAGGAGAGTATGATGTAGCATTAAAACAATATGCTAATGTGTGTATCTATTACTAATTATTCAGGGATGATACCAAGCGTTCATGAAGCGATGAATGTAACCTCCACTCAGTCACAAACAACGGGATCATAAAGACATGCCATCCACAATCGGTTGTACCCACAAATATAAACACAAAAGCAAAGATCTAGGAATGTAAAAAGAAAACACTGAAAAAAGTATTACATTTATGTACAAAAAGATCCATATGAAGACATCAAAACTCACACAAAAATAAAATTGTCTAAAGTTTCATTTACACGGAAAATCTTTTGTGATTAACATATTCGAGGTACAATGAAATGAAGTTTGAGTGCAACTTAAACACCTTCACAAATTTTACAGCTGTTGGAATCTATTGTTGGATACAAAAATACTTCTTAGAAGAGCTTGTGGCATAATAGCTAAACCCTATTCCAACACTGGCTGGTTTATTGTCTCCCGAAGATCAGCATACTTAAAAACTGAATTACAAACATATTTCACAGTAAAAATCAAACATAAATGCTGAAATAAATTAATTTTTAAAGTTTGCTGCAACTATAAATGAAATACCATTAGTTTCTAACCATACAGGTAACTAATCAATAGATTTTTAATAATGATGCCAATTATTATTTTTCATTTAATTTTTTAATAAAATAAATGTGATTCAAAAGCTATTTTACAAATCATTTCCCCTTTAATACACCCTCTCATCAGTCCGGTATTCTTTGTTATACTACTGCAGGTGCTGCAAACTATCAAACAGCTAGAAATGTGAGATGAAACATCCAAAAACTTCAGTTGTACTCACAGTTAGATAATTAGAGGTCTCAGAAATCTAAACCTTTTTCACTTACTGCCTATTTTATCAGAATAAATACAAAAAACAACAAAGTTGGTGTTAATAATTTTCATTAATGACATGGATAATAAACATTTGTCCAATTAAAACCACAGAGAGCAAAGATTCATGTCATTATGAATGTAGAACAGGCATGGAAAATAGATAGTTCTTAAAATCAACATGTCAATGCTCCATCTCCACTGTGTGACAATACTTAGTCCCTGTTCAGTTTCTAAAATGCAACTCCTTTATAATCACAATTTCAAATTCATCTAAATTGTACATGAAAATATATTCCTGGTATCTGTAAGGATTGAAACGGATTTCATAAATGCAATCGGAAGAGAACAACTGTCTTATCTTAATGTCTTAATTCTGAATAAGAACTGTCGAAACTTAAGTACTGAAAATGTGACGGCTAAACAAGCAGTTGACAGCGTCACAGGAATCAATGTCAACAGAACCTCAACACAACAGCTTCCTGGGATTAACTCGGACACGATAATGGCTCCATGAAAATAATGAACCTTAAAGTGATGATCAAGTGCCTTGTGCGAACCTACCTTCAAGACATAAGAGCTGTACAAGGGCATACAATCCACCGAAGAGGCAGAACCTCGGTAACCTGCTGTCGTCATCCTGGTGAGGTTTGTGTCAATGACAATGTAAAATAACTTGCAATTAGACAGACATCAGCTGCCAAGTTTCAGACCAGATCACATGATCAGTTCTGTATTCCATAATAGCTCGTTATGTCACTCACGGATAAGAGTCGCGACAGACAATGATCAAACAATTAATTGTTCACTAAATGTTCCCGATCCTCTTCACTGTAACACTGTGATGTAAGTCAGTCAACTTCCACTTCTTCCTAAGAAAGTCTTGACTTGATGAGACAGAGATTTTTTAAACGCTCCTGATGTAACCTATTCCCACAGGACGGGTGAGAATAATGACGTGTAAAAGAGACGCACATACACAGGGTGTTTGAGGTGAGGATTACGTTATGAAAAGTCAGTTTAAACGCCCCAAGTTGCACACGCACGTGCCTGACAATGAGCCGAGACGGAGAGCATTGTGATGACAGTGGATGACTAGCGGGCCCAACAATCTCAGCCCCTCCTTCGCCTGGTTCAGCACACCTGCCTCTCTGGGCGGGGAAGCGTATCAACCCTTACCACAGACAGACCAGTATTACGCGTTGGGCAAATACCCCGTGGGTTCTTGAAGGAATACCTGGCTCTTGTCACAGAAGGAATACCTGGCTCTCTTTTGATACAGAAGGAATACCTGATTCTTTTGATACAGAATGAATACCTGGCTCTTGCTACAGAAGGAATACCTGACTCTTGCTACAGAAGGAATATCTGGCTCTTGTCACAGAAGGAATATCTGGCTCTTTTGATACAGAAGGAATATCTGGCTCTTGACACAGAAGGAATATCTGGCTCTTGACACAGAAGGAATACTTGTCACAAACGGAATACCCGGCTCTTATCACAAAAGGAATACCTGGCTCTTGTCACAGAAGGAATACTTGCCACAGAAGGAATACCCGGCTTTTGTCACAGAAGGAATACCTGGCTCTTGTCACAGAAGGAATACCTGGCTCTTGCTACAGAAAGAATACCTGGCTCTTGCTACAGAAGGAATATCTGGCTCTTGTCACAGAAGGAATACCTGTCTCTTTTGATACAGAAGGAATACCTGGCACTTTTGATACAGAAGGAATATCTGGCACTTGACACAGAAGGAATACCCGGCTCTTGACACAGAAGGAATACCCAGCTCTTGTCACAGAAGGAATACCCAACTCTTGTCACAGAAGGAGTACCTGACTCTTGTCACAGAAGAAGGCTCTTTTTGATACAGAAGGAATACCTGGCTCTTGTCACAGAGCGAATACTTGTCTTGTCACAGAAGGAATACCTGGCTCTTGACACAGAAGGAATACTTGTCACAGAAGGAATACCTGGCTCTTGACACAGAAGGAATACCTGGCTCTTGACACAGAAGGAATACCCAGCTCTTGTCACAGAAGGAATACCTGGCTCTTGACACAGAAGGAATACTTGTCACAGAAGGAATGCCTCACTCTTGACACAGAAGGAATACCTGGCTCTTGACACAGAAGGAATACTTGACACAGAAGGAATACCCAACTCTTGTCACAGAAGGAGTACCTGGATCTTGACACAGAAGGAATATCTGGCTCTTGTCACAGAAGCAATACCTGGCCCTTGTCACAGAAGGAATACCTGGCTCTTTTGATACAGAAGGAATACCTGGCTCTTAACACAGAAGGAATAAATGGCTCTTGACATAGTGAGAATATATGGCTCTGACAGAAGAAATACCTGGCTCTTGCTACAGAAGGAATACCTGGCTCTTGCTACAGAAGGAATACCTGACTCTTGACACAGAATGAATACATAGTAAGAATATCTGGCTCTGACAGAAGAAATGCCTGGCTCTTCGTACAGAAGGAATACCTGGCTCTTACCCACAGAAAGAATACCTGGTTTGTTTACATACTGGAAGACGAGCTTTTCCATACAGATGAATATTCTAGCTCTTTCCAGTAGGACCCGAAAGACCCGAAGGACTGACTAGCTTATTCCAAAGAAGGAATATGAACTCTAATATTACCAATAGTTGTTGTTTTTGCCACAGAAGGATAACTATAACAAAAGTTTCATTTGCACAAACCTTAACTTCTAAAATAAAACATGATAATTGCCCTTTTACCATCATCACTTGAATGTTTGCAACATGAAGTATCTATTTTAGTTGGCTCTAACAACAAGCTTGGGGATTCAGCGGTAGACCAGATCACCAGCAATCTAAGCTGGTTGTAAGCTACCAAATAGATTGGCTGGTCATTATGGTCTGATCTTCACTGAATCGTCTGGTCCAGATTTGGTTGAAATATTACTCACAAACACAACCAACCAAACAAACAAACAAAAAACAAGTATCATGGGCATAGAGACTTTTCTGGGTTTCATCTTCTGTTTATTGTTTGGTACAACATTTCAGGGCTTGTTCTGGCCCCATCATCAGGTAGAACTAAAAGTCAAAAAAATCAAAAAAGAGAAAATAAAACAGTATTGCACAATATACTTATCATCTACTTAGGCACGAAAGAGGGATGTTTTTCCAATTACCTGACTCTCCCTTATTTGATGGTATTGATCACATTCTTATCACATATTCAGAACAGGCCCTGAAACAACCTGAACAGTCTCTATGTTCATCAAATAGCATCTTCTAAAATGCCAATCAAACATCTAAGTATCATGGGGTCCAAAAGACCTCTTATAGCCCAGAATTCCCATTAGGCATATCCAACTACAACTTCAGTTTTTGACAAAAACACCATGTCATCCCAAAACACCTGCCTCTCATAAACTCATTTTGAAAAATATATGTATTATTATACAAGTAATCAATCCAATATGGTCTAACAGGTCACAGCAACAATTTATAACATCTGCTGTGCCAACCATTAACTGAAATAAGGTGGGAATTAATACTTTGGACAATGCCAATTTTGTTGTTATATCATCAGCACAAAGTATCATACTGACTAAACTATCTCTTTAAGATGACGTGAATATTTTCATGTTAAAAGAAATGGGAAAGCTTCTATCATTAATGTCTGAAAGTGTTGCACATATGAAAGACATTCTAAAGAGGTATAAAGAGTATAAAAAATATTCCTCTGATAGGCCGACCTCACTTTGAAATGACTGAAAACAAAAACTTAAAGATCTACTTTACTCGGCAACAACAAACACAGTCATCGAGAAGAGTATCACTGACCATCTGGTCAACATTGATGATCAGTTAGAACACTGACATCGAGATCTTGTCTAATCAGACAGTGCACAAGGACTTCAGAAGTACACAGGTCAAATATGAAACATTGTCACAAGAAGTCAATTCTCACAGGACATCAACAACAAGCATAAAAAAAAGCACCCTTAAAATGTTGTTTCAGTTTAGACAAAAGAGGGCAGGTTGGCTGCCATTTTGTCAGCTCAGAAGTGCTAGCGTAAATTGTAGCGATTGTACCACTAAAAAGAACTTGAGGAGCACCCTATTTACATATATATCTTCAGTTAATACATCACATCTTTACTCTAACACAGAGTAAAACTGAAAGAATGTTTGAGTATTTTTTATTACTTTTAGCAGTATTCCAGCAATATTATCAGAAATGGGCTGCACATATTGTACCCATATGGGGACTCAAACCCAGGTTTTGGGGGTGACAGGAACGCTCTGACCATTAAGCCAAACACACACCTCTACAAGAATGTGATCAATACCTCAAATAAGGGAGAGTCAGGTTATTCGGAAATGCATCCCTCTTTCTTGCCTAAGTAGATGTAAGTAAGTATATTTTGCAATACTGTTTTCTTTTCTCGTTTTTGGTGAGGTGAGGTGAAATTTGGTTTAACGTCGTGCTTGAGAATATTTCGCTCATATGACTGAATGCAAATGAAAGTATGTGTCATGTGCGGCTGCTTGTACTAGCCCAGACTGAAGCTGGCTTTATAGTGCTAGCCCACTGAGATACCATGCCGCAGTGAAGCATGAATACCCCACTCAGACACATTATACTGACTCCGAGCCGACCAGTCCTTGTTGTACCTAATAATGCCTAGCGTCAGGCAGGGACCAACAAGTACCATATCTTAACGTCTTTTGGTGTGATGCGGTCAGGGATCGAAACCGCGACCTTCCGCTCTCCGGGCTAAACCTGACTAAACCACGAAGGCGGTCTTCTCATTTTTATCTAAAGCATATAGATGCATGTGTTCATCATTTAATTGAATGCCATGTTCAGTAATATTACAGCTGTATAAAAGTAAGAGAGTATATAGTGCTTTGCACCACACCAGCAATTGTGCAGGTATTCATGGTACTGCATGGTACAGTGAATAATCAAGCCAGGACCAAACAAATCAGTGATCAGTATTATGAGCAGTGATTCGCATCATGCGGATACCATGACACACAATCATCCAAGTCACTGTGTCTGGACTCCCGATCCATTTTTATTTCCTTCTTACACATGCGTCGTAGGTCGCTGGGGAACGATTGCAACCCATAATTTCTGAGGGGAAAAATTTAGATGAAGCAATATTGATATGATCCAGAATCACTCTTGCTTGATTACAGATTACAGATTATCTCAGAGACAAAAGTGACATGGGTATGATGCTTCTTGGGATATATTTCCATCACATTATGGCACGTCACCATAGTCACGTGAAGAGTGAATGAGTGAGTTTTGTTTTACGCCGCTTTTAGCAATATTCCAGCAATATCACGGCAGGGGACACCAGAAATCGGCTTCACTCATTGTACCCATGTGGGGAATCGCACCCAGGCCTTCGGCGTGACGAGCGAACACTTTAACCACTAGGCTACCCCACCGCCCAGTCACGTGAAGAAAGGAGGTGAGCGTGATATCAGGCCTGCCAAAGAAAACTTTCCCACTGTGCAGAAAAACACAGAAAAGCCCACATTAATCGTGGAAATAGCAACATAAACATAATACCTCGCTACTGAAACAGTAAAAACGGCAACAAAAGACTATGAAACTGCAACATTTTTGTATCAGCGAACTTTGACCTCTACTGCGCATGTGCATTACGATCCGAGCTTCTTTCAAATTTCGCCTCGCGTAGAAAAAGTATTGAACATGTCGAAATACTTGCTGTCAATCATTTCATACGAATGGAAAGTAACCTAAAGTGTGCACACAAGTATCATGATGATAAATGCCAAATAACACAACAGAAATACCATAAAAAGTGGATGTAATGTTTGTTCAAGCTGGAAAATGTCAACATGCGGTCAAGACTTCCTCCTCCATGTGCGCATGCGTAAAATCGAAGTTGCAGGCTCTTCATTTTTTAACCAGTTTTAGCAATTTTTAGTTGCCATTTTTTACTGTTTCAGTAGTGAGGTATTATGTTTATGTTGCTATTTCCACAATTAATGTGGGCTTTTCTGCACAGTGGAAAAGTTTTCTTTGGTTGGCCTGGATATGATCACAGGATTTT